ATCAAAGAAAATCCCAGGTATACTTTGGATTATACGGGTGCATCTTTCGATTGTTCCGTAAAGACTGTTGCAACGATGTCACCGCATATCTTCCTACCATTGCATTGCTGCTGAGTCACAGATCACCAGGCCTTTCTTTCAGGGCACTCCTACATGGATTCCAACTGCCAAATGTTCACTTACTAGTAGTGCTTAGCCAATTCTGCCAGGAGCTCCTGTATTTCTAGAAACTCTCCCTTTCCCTGACTTGAGGCTGTCTGATTTTCTTCCGTGCATTTCATGCATTCCACCACCATCCTGTGATGCTGCTATAAGGCCGAACAAGTTGCAGCGGAACTTCCAGACCAAGCTAAGACAGACTAGGAAGAAAGGCTTGAAACATCAGCCAACGAAGACTGTACAATCCTGGGACTGCTGCGACTTGGGGTGGGCTCCACAGCTGCGAACAAGGCAAACCAGAACACTGGGGACAGGGTGTGCCCCAGGAGGAGGAAGAGGGCTACGTGGAAGCATTCCACAGAAGGCAGCCACCAGCTTCACCCAGAAAGGTGAGTGCACAAATCACACGGCAAGTCAAATCCGACTACTGTTACTCAGTGTACAGAAACCTCAGTTGCTTCATCGACAAACGCAGTGCCTGCCGGTCGTAAAGCAGGTGCACTTGAAGTGCAGCTGCTACGGAGACTTCCCCTACAGGCAACCCAGGAAGGATTCAGGGAGCAACCAGGGCGGGACGGCGAAAGGGTCCCGAAAAGGGTCAGGTCTAGAGGTGCCGCTCTTGAGGACCACTCCCACACCTGCCCTCCCTCCGCCCCGCCCCCCCCCAGCCCTTCCTCAATTGACTGTCGCGAGGCCAGCCCTGGGCTCTCTGCTGGGTCGCCGACTCCAGGCTAACTGAGGGCCGCGTGACCACTGGGAACTGGCTCCTTTTTCTTCTCCCGGCTGGGAGGCCTGAAAACCATCATATCTGAGGGATGACAGAGACTTTGCCCCGAAGGGAGATGGCCAGCGCTGACCTCCAGCGCGGAGCCCTCACAAAGTGCTGAGTCACGAGGAGGCGGCGCCGCCGCCGGCCCGGGAGGCGGGCGCAGGCGGTCACGTGGTGGGGGCTGGATCACAACAACGGCGCGGCGTGCAGCGCCCCGGCCGGCGCGGCTTCCTCCCGCCGCCCGCTCAGCGAGCATGCTCAGCTCGGGCGCGCGAACTCACGGCGACCCCAGCTGTCGCGCTCCACTGTCCGGGTTTTCCGGGCGGCCCTGGAGGCGGGGCCGGAGGCGGGGCCTAGGGCGGTATTGAGTGCCGTGGTGCGAGGCTGCGGTCCCTGGACCCCCTGTGGGCCAGCGGGGCAGGCGTAGGGAGTCTTCAGGTGGATGTGGAAGAAATGACCGCCAGAGCATCCTTTATCCGTGACTTTAAGCAGAGCTCGTTGTGCAAGATCTGAGCACCTTCTTACTCCTTTGTTAATTATTTAGCCCTTATTGGGCTGCTTGCCAAAAAACGAACTCCCAGGAGTCGAATCCCAGTCGGTGCAATTTTGCAGAATGAAATCCAGGAAATAGACGACAAATTCAAAACACCTACAGTTGGAGAGGAAATGCCGGTTGCTGAATGACTTGTGTTGAACCTTGTTACAGTTGTTATTTTCCTTGTGGCAAAAATTGCTGAGCCGAGACGCACTGTGGATGCCACGGCTTAAATTTGGCGTGACTACTGGGAATGTACGCAATTTGGAGTTAACGGAATCCATAGCTGCTGGTTCGGAATCTGGGCTGGGGGGAGGGGGGGTGCGGTCAAGAGGGAAAGGCTCCGCCTGTAATCTAGGGCAGAATAACTCCAAGTGTTATTTACTTGTTCAGTGAGTTCAGTACCATGTAGGGCATAAAGCTCCAAATTTATTTGGCCTATCACCCCGAAATTTAAAACTTTTGTACTATAGCCCACCATCCAGGATAAATTAAGCATCTGCTGCCTGCTTGGATCATTTCTGGCAGTATCACCTACTTTTGGAAACATTGCTCGGGTTTGTCTCTTAAAGAAATGCCCAACTGCTGAAGTCTCCTCAGTAAAATGGAGCTGGGATATTTTTAAGAGACCAGACTTAAGGTATTGTTATGGAAATGCTTACAGGTCTGCAAAGGGATGTGCACTTAGTAAAGTATAAAATTCTACACTACCGACACTGTTGAATAAAACAGCATTTGGGTACTTCAATGATGTTTAATTTCCCAGTAGCCACCTTCAAACACTAAAAACTAAAAAAATAACATTTTCCTTAACCCAACATATTTTAAATATCAGCAGGCAACCAATGTCAAAATTATGCACTAGCTATTTACATTCTTTTGCATACTAAGGCTTCAAAATCTTTGTGTGTATACAATATTTACAGGAGTCTCAATATAGACATTAGGTTTTCCTTGATTTCATAAAATTGACAGTTGTAAACGTGTACTCACATACCCAATTTGTTCGAGACTTGGCAGTTTTTCAGTAACTGAATGAAATGCCAGTCATTAAATTTACATTTAAACTTACTAAAATGAAACAAAACATTCCGTGTCTCAGTCAAGTTAGCCACATCACATGTGCTCCATAGCTATGTGTGGCTGCTAACTATTATGGCAGTACACTGCAGATCTATGCAAACATGCAGCACAATTACTAGATAACAGAATTGTCCTTTGGGATGTTTTACTTGCTTGTCTAACAAGGACTGTCACTCTTCCCCTTCATTACTTTCTTTCCACAGGAAAGCTAGCATGCATTAAGCTCCTACTATATACCGTGCAAGAAGTCTTGTTAGTGTAGTGGGTTACAAGCTGGGGTGTTAACCTCAAGCAGTTCAAAGCCACCAGCTTCTCCCGGGGAGAAAGATGAGGCTTTCTATTTCTGTAAAAATTTACCATCTTGGAAACCTACAGGGGCAGATCAAGTCTGTCCCATAGGGTTGTGATGAGAAACAATCAACTTGATGGCAATGACTTTGGTTTGGTTTGGTTTACCAAGCAGTTCTCTAGAACTAATGGTATCAAAGGCATAAATCATATCTACCCCAGAGAGAGTCACTATTTAGTTTGGAGATGGGCTTTAAATAATCCCATCACAATGTACAAAGCATGTATATACAAATGCAACAGGGGAACGGTGCACACACACACACACACACACACACACACACACACACACACACAGTCCATTCTGACTCATAAGGTAAATGGGACTTAAAGGAGGAAGGCAAACAAAATGGTGTGTGTCGAGGCAGAAAGCCAGGGCCACACAGCTTTGTGGGAAGGGTACAAAGTGCTGGGGCAGTAGCTGAGGCTATTGAGGTCATCCCTGGGCAAATTAGAAAGGACTTTGTGTGCCAGGCCAAGAGGCTTGGTTTTTAGTCTGAGGACCGGGAAGTGAAATGTCTCCTGATCATCAAACCCCATTCCCACCTCACTGGGTGCACACACTTACATACAACTCCCCCGCTCCCCCTACCCCCACCATGGAAATCACAGCCAGTCACCCAAAGGCCCCAATCCCTGGGAAAGGCATACTCAAACAGAGAGTGGGGGAAGGATGCTTCCACTGTCAAATATTCATGCAGCAATTAGCATGTGCCTCTGAAAAGTCAAGCCTCTCTTGTGAGGAAACATCAGACAGTGTCTAGCTCAGTGCACGCAGGATCCAATTGCTGTCCCTTTCCCCCCAGCCTGTCAGCATTCTGACACTTCTTACCTGACAATTACTTAGGGGCAAGGTACCACCTTCTTTCCTTTCCACACCAAGATAAGCCCAACACTAGCTATTGCTACTGTCTTACTCCCATGTAAGACTGCACGAGTCATTTGTATCATTTTCATCATCAAATGGGTGAACCTTAGGTTTGAACGGAGGATACAATGTTGGGGGTGACTGCTTCCATCTAGGTATGTTGACAAAGTCCCTATTGTTACGATGGTTGGTGTAGGACAGCGGTTCTTGGCTCACAACAGTAGCAAACTTACAGTTATGAAGTAGCAATGAAAATAATGTTATGGTTGAATGAAAGCTGCATTCGGAAGGTTAAGAAACACTGGTCTGGGATATGTGCCATCCAGGAAGCACACGGCATGAAATAGTAAACCGACTCAAATCATTGAATCCTTGAAGGCAAACGGATACCACTTAGTAATAACTGGATTCGTTCACTGAGTATCTATCTAGTTCATGTGCATGCATACATCATACACATCCTTATGTTATGATATCAAGATATGATTAATCTATTTTCATAGAGGTGGGGAAACAACTTGCCCAAGGGCTTAGAGTCAGTACGTCAGAGCCTAGAGTTGAGCAGGGGCTTCATCAGACTCCCAAGGTAATATGTTTCTCATCATGCTATTGTAAATGTAAAGCCTTTCTCAACTAAAAATTAACTTGGTTAATTTTATATTAATTCAGATCATTACTTTTTCCCCAATCCGGAGTTTTAACTTTGGGGACTAGCCAAACCGGATTTCTACATATCGAGTTTGCTTAAATCGAGTCCGACCTCATCCTGGGACCACGCCCTAACCACGTCTGCGCACGCCTTCTTTGAGGTCCCAGCGGCCTCTCAGCCACGCCTCCCCTCCTGCACCGCCTCCTTTCCCCGCCTCTTGCCCGTGGCCTATAAAACCCGGAGCGCCGGATCGCGTCGGGAGCGGGGAGTTCGCGGGCTGGAGGACTGGGCATGCTCCGCAGCGGCGCAGGTTTGGGTCATAAGTAGGAAGAAGGCAGTGCATAGCACCGGCACCGAGAAGCCGGAGCCGACCCGTCCCTGTCGCCGCTTCGCCGCAGGGCCCGGGAGGGAGTGGGAACGGACGAGGGGAGGGAGAGGCTGCCAGGACCGGAGCCTCCCGACTGCGCTCGGGTCTTCTGCCTCCGGGTCCGCGCGGCGCGCCGGGTCGCTAGGTCCGTCACCTGGGTGGCTGGGAGCCGGCGCGGACGGGACCGTCCTCGTCCGAGTGCGGCCCGAGGGCGCCCCCACGGGGCGGAGCGAAGCCTCTCGCACAGTCGCCGGCGCGTGGCTGAGTGTCCGGCGAGCGCCCGGCGCCCGCGTCCAGAACGAGCGGCCGCGGTCGGAGGAGGAAGAGGAGGAGGGGGCGGCCATGGGGCTGCTGGCCCAAGGCTCGCCACTGAGCTGGGAGGAGACCAAGCGCCACGCGGACCACGTGCGGCGGCACGGGATCCTGCAGTTCCTGCACATCTACCACGCCGTCAAGGACCGGCACAAGGACGTGCTCAAGTGGGGCGACGAGGTGAGCGCCCGCGGCCCACGCCCCGCGCGCAGCCCGCGCCGCCTTTGTTCGGCGAGGCGGGGCGCTGGGCCCCGGGGCCCCGGCCCCGCCCGCGGCCCGCGCCGCTGCCCCGGGGGTCTTCCCGCCGTCGTTTCCGCCGCCCCAGCCAGACGGGGTGCGGGGCGTGGGGGACCTGCCCTGGGCTCGGGGACGGAGCTGCCTTCCCATTCATTCATGCGTCCGGCGCTTCGTTCGGCACTCGAGGAGTGGACGCTGGGCGGCGTGAGCATGAAAAAGTGACATTCGGTTCTGGGCGTCGTTCTCGGGCCGGTTCTCCTCCGATCCACCTTCGTGTCCCCAAACTTGCCTTTACCATGAATGCAAAAGGGACGGAAGGACCATAGAAAATCCGTTGCTCCTTAGGAGTCAGATGTTCAGGATGTTCACTTCTGCTCCGCCAGACTCTGGGTCTCTCCTCTTAAACCTCTGAAAAATTTCATCCCTGCACACACACTAGAAATTGAAGCACCGTGGCGATTTCCCAGTAGGAGTGGGTACAATGAGGAACTTTTCCTGATTGTAAATGGGAACGCTTAAAAATCAAAAGCAAACCCACTGCCATCGAGGGAAGTCAGACTTACAGTGGCTCTTTATAGAACATCAAGACAAAATCTTTATCCTAGCAAACAGCCCCCTCTTTCTCCTGCCGAACGGTGCTGGGTGGATTTGAACTGGCAAACTGCCGGTAACCACTACTCACCACCAACGCTCCTAAGAAAGTGTGTGTAGTACAGATAATTAAGTGACTTTCTTGAGTCTGTCTGTTTCATCTTTTTGCTGTAGATTGCTTGCCACCATGGTAAGTAAATTATTAACCCTGTCAGCAGTTATCACTCTGATCAAGGTGTGTTGCATCTGGGCAAAATACCTTGAAAAATATTTTGTTTCTAAGGGTCAAAGGTAATTCTGCCTCCTTCAACTGAAGAAATTGTGTCGTTTTAAATTAGAAAAGTGCACTTACTGGGAAATCACATTCATATCGTTAAGTGGCCGTCACACTCTTTGGACAGAAAAGGGTCATGTGAGAAATCCCCCATTTTAGTTTAGACGTAAGTTCACTGTTTCTTGTTTGTTCATATGTGCCTTGCTTACTTCACCTAGTATAGTTTTTCAAAATTCATCTATGCCGTAGCATGCAACAGAACTTCATTTTTTTTCTCCATACGTCTGTTGGTTGACACCTGAGACATTTCCTCCTTTTGGCTATTGCGAACTGTACTGCTGTAAATACCGTACAGTTATCAGTGCCCTTGTTTTCAAGCCTCTTGGGTATATACCAAACAATGGAATTTTCTAGCTGTTGAGTAAGCTGAAGTGTATAATAGATGAAGAGGAGGGCAAACTTTGCCAGGTCAAGTTGTTAATAGACTTAGCCCTTGCCTGCCTTAAAGGGCGGTGGAGAAGCGGGCCAGTATGACACAGACTTATGCTTCTGAAGGGGAAACTGGGCCCCTCGTTCCAGCCAAGTATTAAAGCTTCTTGGAAGTATCTAACTGGTCATACCTGTTGGGAATTAGACTTGAGTTGTTCGGGACTGATGAGGTAGCCTCGTGGTTGCAACCTCCTTAATGCTGCGACCCTTTTTTAATACAGTTCCTCATGTTGCGGTGACCCCCCCCCCCATCATAACATTATTTTCGTTGCTACTTCATAACTAAATTTGCTACTGTTATGGATTCAGTGACATCTGTGAAAGGGTCGTTTGACCTCCAAAGGGGTCGCGACCCACAGGTTGAGAACCGCCGAGTTAACTGGATAAGCACTGCCCTTACATTAAAACGTGTTAAAGATGTTCTCTGAAAACTCATCAGTGACTTGAAAATGCAGCTGCAGATTTCTTGTTAACAATACTTGGTGTCATAAATGAAATATAAAACTAGAAATTGATTTTCTAAACTGATTCTCCTACTTAGCAGCATTTTCTGCTTATTTGATGGCCTATTGGGGATTTTTTTTTCTTCTAACATGTTCCCCCACCGTGCAGTTTTTCCTTCAACAAATCCTCGAAAGTGAGGTCATTGCTTTAAGCTAAATGACAGGTTGAAAAGTTATTTTGGATTTTTCAAGCAAACCAAAAACTGGAATATAGCATTTTCAAGACAAATAAAAACAACCGAACTCACGGTCAGCCACTTCTGATTCATCCCCATAGGACAGAGTAGAATGATCTCTGTGAGTGCAAGACATTGGAGCTTTACAGAAACAGAGACTCATATTTCTCCCACAAAGCGATTACTAGGCTCTACCCACTAGACCTTGTGGTTAGTGGCTCACTTTAGCACACTGTGCCACCAGGGCTCCCTGAACTTGACTAACCAGTTGGAAGTAAGCCCCTGACACACGGAAAAGAATTCAGATTGTGAATACTGCCTTGCAGTTTACAAAAACAGCCCCATTCTTCTCCCTTTCCTGAATAGCCCTGCTGGCTCTACCCACACCCCCCACCCCATGCCCAGATTCTCTTGTGCACTTTTGGCCTGTGAGCTGCAGGTTGCCTTTCTCTCTGTGGTACCTCTCTATCCAAGAGAGGGTGGGACTTTCTCTTAGGGCTCTCCCAAGTATCTGCTACTGCCTTCAGCTTCTCTAGCATCTTGTCAGAGTAATTACCAATTTGTGTTACGCAGCAGAAGTTTTCAAACTGCAGATTCAGATCCATTGGTTCATTGGGAAATAAGTGAGAGCAGTGTTCACAAGTGGGTGGGACTGCTCCCTGGGGGTTGCTGAACCAATGGGGGGGGGCTGCAAAAGCAGATACTTGCATGTTATCCTGGATTATAGGTCATAGTATGAACATTTTTCATTGCCAGAGAGGCGCTGAGTAAAAAAAATTTTTTTTTGAGAGGTAGGTTATAGCTCAAGTAATTTGGGGAATCTATATAAAGGATTCCAGTCAGGATTTTTTTAAAGGCTGAAATGGATTAGAATGAGGAGGAATAACATCAGATGTGTATTAGAACAAACTTTGGGAGTATTTATTGAGCTTGGGTATTAAATCTCAGGCAAATTATGGCTCCCTGTGTGTCACAGGCTGAAAGACTTTGAAAGTCACAATCTGATCTACTATGGAAGGCCTTCCTTGATGGGGGTGGTGAGCCATGTGCAAAAGAGAGGGAGAGAAATAACTCCAGGGTTAGCACTAATCTGTAATAGTGGGGCCTCACTACTGCATGCACAGAATAGAAGTCTGAAGACCTGCCTGGCAGGTCGGACTGAAGCAAGCACGTTTGTTTGCGGGTGCCACGGAAATACTGAGAAAGGTGGGCAAAGAGATAAAAATAACGAAGGGTGTGGTGGGTGATGTGGCCCCTGGAGATGAAAGATGACCTTGGCCAGGCCCCAGTGCTTTAGATGCCATATGTTGCATTGTGCTAGTATCATACCAAAAGACTGCTATTCCTGGGAAGCGCTAGTTTTATATCTAGAAGGCTGTGAACTTGAATGGAGAAGAAAGAATAAGTCTTGGGCCTGTGGCCGTAGGTTTCCATGGAAGGAGATCCCTGCCACCTAGTCTCTAGAACAGCATTTTATGTTCTTGTACCAGAAAGAACTCTGGATTTGGAGTGTGACCTCTGTTCTGCGCCAGTCTGCCAAACTGGCCGTGTGATCTTGAACCACACTTTCCTCATTTGGAAGGCGGGGAGGGGGAGGGTGTTACTCTGATAACATCCAACCTTCATAGTGGGAGACCCTAAGGTAAGTGTGCATTTTTCAAACCATAAACCGACCCTTCTGTGAAATTCGCCTGATGATCATTCTTATAGTTTGATGAGAAAAGAAAAGGCTGCCACTGAACTCCCCGATAGAGAGTGGATCGCATTATGAAATAGCAGGTGCACATTGGGGGGTTGGAACGCAAAAGTCTCTTTCTGTGAGGACCTTATGAATTGAATTGAGTCCCACTCAGCAGACAATTAATTGCCTGTTCCCCTTTAACAAGACAAGTCCTAACCCTGCTCACTGTTCTGTTTCTGTGGGAAAACAGAAATTCTGACTCCTGGGTGCCAGAAAAATAGCTCATTTTGCCCCCAGGCAGCAGGGAAGCAGGTGAGGGATATTCCCAGGTGTTCTTTTGCCTACTAAGCATTCTATTAAAAAAAAAAAAAAAAGCAAGTGGGGTTTGGAGCACTCTGGATTCACAACTCACACAGAGCTTCTCAGGTACAACTCAAGATGTGTGCTTTAAAGGGCAGATCTAAGGAATCTTTGATATGGATGTGTTACCGAGGACTCCTAGTGGCACGGCTGTTACAGTGCCCACCTACCCACCCGGTTGCTACCCACAGGGGAAAAGATGCGGCACTCTGCTTAAGACTCAGCCTCAGAAAGCCTGCAGAGCAGTGGGACCCGGTCCTGTCGGGGTGCTCTAGTCAGCATTGACTCTGGGCAGTCCTAATACATGTGACTCTTGGTCCCCAGCCCCACCCCCCACCATAGAATTACCCCAGGGTGAGCTACTTGCCAGGCCTTTGCAACTAATTAGTGGCAGAGACGCTGTGGGAATTGAAATCTGTCGGACTCTGGGTCTGTTTCTACCACAGATTGTAGTAGGTTTTGGATTATTTACAACGTGAGATGTTAAAACTGTACAGGTTAATAGAGATAGCAGAAGAGAACGGTTAAAGGCAAACTTCTTTTTTAAGGAGCCCTATAGTTTAAAAAAAAAAAATTTAACTTCTTGCAGTGGCTCTCAAAGATAAGGGGTTAAATTGCCCTGTAGTTAGCAGAAAAGTCCATGTGCACTATGGGAGGCCCATAGACAGGGTCTTTGATACCTGAGTATGTTCTTGGGTGTAAAACTGCCAGGGTATTTAGTAAGGCTTGATTTTTCATCCATTGAGTTACAGTAGGTTAAGAATAGTTAAGTGGCTCAGAAAATAAATATACATCTTGTTAATAAGCTTGTATCCTATAACAAAAACTATGCTCTTGCACTGTAAACCTAGAATAAATGAAAGCATATG